AAATCTGCTTCTCTTGGAGACATTTTGGCAATCACCAGCTTCTTCTCTCCCTATTGTGGTCTTCTGAAATATGCAGGGTACTTCAAAAAGTTTGTGGACAATGGATTTACAAAATTAGTTTATTTTGGTGCTAAAAATTGAAATCTGGGGCTGGTGTTGTGGCATAGCGGGTAAAGCTGCTGCCTATGTCTCTGGCATCCCATCTGGGCAACAATTTTGTCCCCGCTTCTCCACTTCTTTTTTGTTTTTTTTTTTTAAATATTTATTTATTTGAAAGGCATAGTTACAGAGAGGCAGAAGCAGAGAGAGAGAGAGGTCTTCCATCTGCTGGTTCACTCCCCAGATGACTGCAAACAGCCAGGCTGCTCCACTTCTGATCCAGCTCCCTGCATGGGCCTGGGAAAAGCTGCAGAAGATGGTCCAAGTACTTGGCCGCTTGCCACCCAGATGAGAGACCTGGAAGAAGCCCATGGCCCTCCTGGCTTTGGCTGGGCCCAGCCCTGGCTGTTGTATCCCTCTGGGAAGTGAACCAGTGGGTGGAAGATCTCTCTCTATATATAACTCTGACTTTCAAACAAATAAATAAATCTTTTTTAAAAATTGAATCCATGCATAATTTTTCATAACATGCATTTCCATGAATTTTTAATGAAAAAGCTGTGTATGGATTTCAAAAATTTTGCACCAGAATAAACTTATTTTAACTCAGTTTTTACAAAACTTTAGAAGTAGCATCTGTGTGTGTGTATGTGTGTGTGTGTATTTTATCACTTCCAATGTCAGAAGTGGCAACTGTGATACCAGTGATTACTGAAGATATCATCTCTGATGTTAACACCCAACTTTGAGGTCCCTAGTGTTGTACTGACATTTTGTTCCCCCTTCAGCTGTGTTAGCAATCTACTGACAGTGCCAATGGTGCTTCTGCCATTTCTAGTTATTCTTTTTTTTAAAAATATATTTATTGTTATTTATTTGAAAGGCAGATCTGGGGCCGGCACTGTGGCATAGCAGGTGGGGCCATCCCATATGGGCACCGGTTCAAGTTCTGGCTGCTCCACTTCCTATCTGGCTGTCTGCTATGGCCTGGGAAAGCAGTGGAGGATGGCCTGAGTCCTTGGGCCCCTGCACCCATGTGGGAGACCCAGAGGAAGCTCCTGGCTCCTGGCTTCGGATCAGCACAGCTCCAGCCTTTGCGGCCAATTGGGGAGTGAACCAGCAGATGGAAGACCTCTCTCTCTCTCTCTCTCTGCTTCTCCTTCTCTCTGTGTAATTCTGACTTTCTGACTTTTTTTTTTTTTTAAAGGCAGAGTTACAGAAAAGGAGAGAGAGAGAGAGAGAGAGAATGAAAGCAAGCAAGCTTCCTTCCAGTGGTTCACTTCTCAAGTGGCTGCAATGGCGGGGACTGGGCCAGGCTGAAACCAGGACCCTGGACATTCCCCCAGGTCTCCCAAGTGGGTGCAGGGGCCCTTGCACTTGGGTCATCTTCCATTGCTTTCCCAGGTGCATTAGCAGGGTGCTGGATTGAAAGTGGAGTAGCTGGGTCTTGAACTGGTGCCCATATGTGATGCCTACATCACAGACAGCAGCTTTATCTGCTATGCCACAACACAACCCCTCCAGTTATTATTTAAACTGTTGGCGTCAAAACGTCCAATGCTTGCCCCTCTCGATATTCTAAGGAGAGTAACACTTAGTGAACTTCAGTTTGTCTGTTGTTGGAGCTCCTTTCCAAGGATTAAGGCATGAGATGATGGGTTTGAACAAAACAATCTGAGGGACCAAATACTGTGTTATACTCAGAATCGCCCAGCTGCCTAGTGCCAGCCCATCACACTAGATTAAAACTTGCATGATTCTCACTTTTTAAATTTAGAACACTTTAATTCTGAGGAGACACCTCTGTTTCCCCTGGTTGTCTCCATACTTGGAACAGTCACATGCAAAATAGATGATGCAATTATGAGCCATGCTCAACCTGCGGGCACCCGAGGTTAGCAATGAGGTGAGTTTCATTTCTAAAAACGATATTACACAAAGTATTGCTGAGTCTTTATTCTCTAAATTTCCACCCATTGTTATGCCTCCCTACAAGTTTTCTGCTTTTGAAAGCCATACCCAATATTCACCTTTATCATATATAAAAGGTCTATAGTTTGTATTAACAGGAAATTTGCTTCTAGACACTTTTTACTAAATAAGTGCAAAATAAGTTCTTAAAGAGTACCTTTTTGAAAGATACCAAATTATTACTGTGCTAGAAGCATCTTATGTCTTGATGATTTCAGGGAATAATCACAAGTAATTCAGCTACTTGGTGGGAGGGAATCTTGGGAGCATTGAGGCTGGAGAACCAAGCAGGGCCTGTGGTCAGGAGAGGCCTTATGAACCAGGTTCAGTCATCTGGACTCAATCATGAAGACTGAATTAAAGTAGCATTATCAGTAGGGTCAGAAGAATACCAAAGCTGATGCCTCTTCTAAGATCCTCCTCTTTCAGAAATGTAGTATTTCATTTGAAGGGGAATCATTTCCATGCAGTAAAAGCCAAAACTTAAGACCCTCTCAAAGGTTATATTTTAAAATGTAAAGAAAAATCCTTCTTTGAGCCTCATATAGAAGACAAAAATTTTTAAATAGTTGAGAATCTATAAATTGTTGAACTCTGGTACTATTGAGAACCTTTGAGACCCATCATTTTAAAAATGTCTTCTACCTGAGAAACATGCCAGTGGTTTGCAAGTATTATATGTTAGTGTTTTTCTTGTAACACAAGTAAACCAACTTCTTTGCACTTAAAATACAAATATTACCTACTCTCTCTTAAATTTCTTTTTCCCGAAAATGATGAAAAAAGTACTTTGTTTAATTTTAACTTGACCCACCTTTCGCAATCCGGTTTAATCATTTTACAAATTTACTTTTGAAGTAAATGGGCTTATGGTCAGACAGTGGTGGCAGATGTTTGACATTTCAATGACATGTGATAAACACCTTTAGTGAAATTTGTATATCAAAATTCCTAAGAGCTTCTTTTTTTTCCTAATGAATTCAGTATTTTAAGCGTTGGTAAGTAGAATCTTATTAAGTCAAAAGAGGAATGTTAATGTGACCATAAATATCTGATTTATAGAAATATGTTCAGTGATCTGTTTTATTGCTTTAAAATAGAATACATGGGGCCATCGCTGTGGCGCAGTGGATTAATGCCCTGGCCTGAAGCGCCGGCATCCCTTATGGGCGCCAGTTCTAGTCCCGGCTGCTCCTCTTCCCATTCAGCTCTCTGCCATGGCCTGGGAAAGCAGTAGAAGATGGCCCAACTCCTTGGGCCTCTGCACCCTCATGGGAGACCCAGAAGAAGCTTTTGGCTCCTGGCTTCAGATTGGCACAGCTCTGCTGTTGCAGTCATCTGGGGAGTGAACCAGTGGATGGACGACCTCTCTCTCTGTCTCTGCCTCTCTCTGTAACTCTGTTTTTCAAATAAATAAAATAAATTTTTTTTTGACAGGCAGAGTGGACAGTGAGAGAGAGAGAGACAGAGAGAAAGGTCTTCCTTGTCCGTTGGTTCACCCCACAATGGCTGCTGTGGCTGGCGCACTGCGCTGATCCAAAGCCAGGAGTCAGGTGCTTCTCCTGGCCTCCCATGCGGGCGCAGGGCCCAAGGACTTGGGCCATCCTCCACTGCCTTCCTGGGCCACAGCAGAGAGCTGGACTGGAAGAGGAATAGCCAGGACAGAATCCGGCGCCCTACCAGGACTAGAATCCTGGGTGCCGGC